GAGTTTGGCGCACGGTTAACAAGGTAAGTGTTCACCCTAAACCTCAACAAGGATCATAACTTGCATATGTCTTCTGCCAAACCCTATAGACCTTAAAAAAGATCTTAGCTTTCATATGTCTTTCGTCAACTTCCCTAAACCTTATAACTTCCATATGTCTTTTGGCAAGTTCCTTATGAACCCTATGAAAAAAAGATCCTTACTTCCATATGTCTGTGTGAAGTTTTCCTAAACTCCTTAAAAGATCATAACTTCCATAGGTCTTCCGGTAAATTCACTACACCCTATATGACTTCCATATGTCTACTGCCAAATTCCTCAAACCCTATAGACCTTAAAAAAGATCTTAACTTCCATATGTCTTTTGCCAAATTCCCTAAAACCCTAAACCTGAAAAATCCTAACTTCTGTATGTCTTTTTGCGGCTTCCCTAAACCCTAAACCTGAAGACAAAGACTATAACTTCCATATGTCTTTTGGTAAATTCCTTCTAAGCCCCTATGAAAGAAAAGATCCTTACTTCCATATGTCTGTGGCAGTTTCCTAAACCCCTGAAAAAAAATCATAACTTCCATAGGTCTTGCGGTAAATTCACTACACCCTATGTTATTTAGGCTTATTGTAAGGACCCCAGTCGCCCGGCATACGAGTTCCGAGTTTTGACCGTCCACGCCCGAACCCCTCAACCCTCCTCATCCAGGCACATGACTCCGAGCACCGATTGACCGATCTCCAGGAGGTGCTTAAGCACAGCTTGACAGAAGAGCAGAAGGCGGAGTGTACCTTTGCGGAGACCATGCTGTCGGATGTGGTGCGAGAGCAGCGCATTGCCTTGCTTTTTGAAAAGCCAATCCACATCGACTGGCTCGGGAAGTGGTTCGGAGACAAGCACGAACTCTTCATCCTGAAAGCTTGGGTGACCCACGACTTCGCGAATGTGACGGATGAAGACTTTGTGCAAGGAGCGGACTTGTTGCTGCATTGCGCTGAATGTGTCAAGCATGCCACGGCCAAGGCTCTCATCAAGGACTTTGTTTTGTGGCCCCAATCTGCGAACCAGCAGTGGTGCAGAAACAGTCTAGCACAACCGTTTTTTGAATGAGTCTTTTGTTGCGAGCAACGGTGCAGGACTACGGCAAACTCCAGCAGCTTTTCCCCGAAGAGGAAGCGAGTACCTTCACACGGCAGCTTTTCCTGGAGCTCTCCAAAATGAAGCTGGGCATCAAAGGCACTCCAACAGCGGCCTTGTGCAGCTTTCCAACGGAGGAGGTGCTGAAGGAGCGCTACAAGCACCTGGAGAAGATCCTGTCGAACTACACGCGCAGGGTCTCATCATCTGCCGACTTCCTTGCATCAGCCGCTTGGTGCAGAACATCCAAGACTTCCGCAAGAGTGCTGCAGATGACACCACTAAGTCGGGTGACAAGCAGGAAGCATCTCGGTTCCATGTTCGCAGGGCTGGTTGATTGAGGATTGTCTGCAGTACACAGGATGGGGACTTCAGTTTTTAGGTTTTAGGTTTAGGATTGAAAATTTGCAGCATACAGCGGCTTAGTGCTTGAAGTGTTCGTGGTGTGTTGGATTGTGTTTTTTGGGTGAGTTTATGATTCAACAGAGCTTGCGAGGGGCTTAAGTTTGCTGTCACTCAGAAAGCCTGTGACAAATCTACGTGTTCAGAAACTAAACGTGCTTTTGGGATCTTGGGGTTGAAGTTCATAGAACGACGTGCTGAAAGCCTCTTGGAGCCCCATGTTTCGGAATTCTACGTCCGAAAATGCCCGAAGCCATCCTACACCCTACCTATAGCCTCCATTGTAGTTCCTTTTTGGGGCTGCCTTTTAGGATCCTTAATATAGATTTGGTTAAACCAAAAAAAGGAACTACAATGGAGACTATAGGTAACCCTTAAACCCTAAACCTTAAATTACGAGCCTCCAGCTCATGGCGCCGACGTACCCGAAAACTCGCAAGGGAACCCTACAAGCCTTAAGCCAAATCGGCAATCCGTAGGCTGGGGCCAAGCCGTTGGTCAACATGGTATATATGCCAGTAGTCAAAACCAAGAAAGGAGATAACGCTCCAAATCTGCAACCAGAATTCTTTCAATCCTGCTGGCCAGGACACTAAACGGGCCGACGTTGAAGAGCCGAACTTGGCAGAGACTGCCGAGCAGAACACTTTCGAGCCAGGGGACGTTGTCCTTCTCAGTGCCAAGAAAGAGAAGGACAAGTTTGACGAGCGACAGGCCGAAGTCCTCCGCACACTGTCGAAGCATGTGTGGGTGAAGGTGCTCGATGGTCCAGCCGATGGCATGGAGAAAAAGATCTTGAAAGACTCTTGCCGCCTCCTGCTGAAAGCCGGTGCAAAAAAAGAGTCGCCTGAAAAGGTTCCAGAGACTGCCACGAAGAAGGCCGTCGACTGTGACGAAGCAAAGGGCAGGGAGCAAGAAAGTGCGAACAACGCGCTTGCTGAGAAACTTTTTGGCTGACGCCGGAGTTTTGTGGAAGGTCTGAAAAGGAGTACAGAGAGTTGCTTCAGCTGTGCGTAGCGCATCCTCACTTCGGCGCAGTTTGTAAGAGAACCGGTCGCATCCACTAACCTTTCAATCTGCAGCCCTCTTCAGTGAAGCCCTCGTCCATGCGTGCAGGCAGGAGGCCAGTGGTCCAGCGAAGAGGTTTGTAAGTAGGCTCGGGTAGACGCTAATTAGACGCTAGCCAACGCTAATCGACGCTAATAGACTCTAATTCAGGTGAAGACTGGGCTGTTGTAAGCCCCCATAATCTTGGATATGACCTAAAGCCTGTGGGAAAGGCTCCCAGGAACTTTCAATCAGTTGAGACACCGAGAACTTTGCAATGGAGAGAAACTTCCAGGAAAGTTTTGTCAAGAATCCAAACCCTCACACGGCTTCACACGGCCTTATAACCAGCCGTTTCCAACTATTGTAGCTTGCACGCAGCCCTGAAACGCCTTGGAAGCTTGCCAAAACTCTTAAGTATAATGCCTCAACAACTTGTCATCGCGAAGCTTATGGCTTATAACTCAGGGTTCTAACTTGCGAAGGTATGTAAATATGCCTTCGCGAAAGTTCCGCGCTGGTTTTGTTAAAGTAATTTTTTGTTCGTGAAGAAGGACATTCCGGGATGAAACAATTTAGATCAACAACCAACCATGTATGTATGTATGTATGTATGTATGTATGTATGTACGCATGTACGCATGTACGTATGTACGTATGTACGTATGTACGTATGTACGTATGTGTATATGTGCATATGTGTATATATGTGTATATATGTGTATATGTGTGTATATGTGTGTATGTGCGTATGTGCGTATCTGCGTATCTGCGTATCTGTATGTGTATGTGTATGTCTGTGTCTGTGTCTGTGTCTGTGTCTGTGTGTATGTAAGTATTCATGTATGTATGTATGTATGTATTTAGGAATGTGCGTATGTGTGTGTTTGTTTGTAAGTATGTAGGGAGGGAGTGCCGGAGGTAGGTTATAGTAGGTTATAGTAGATTTTGTCATCCCTCCCTCTGTCTCCGTCTTTGGGTCTTCGTGTATATGCGTGCAACAATGTGGCCTGTGACAGGGGCTGGGGAATGTTTTAAGAGAGGCCCGGGCAGTTGGAGCCAGGTATACTCACATCACCGTCTTCGCCGAGTCCAGCCTCGTTTTGTCAACGACCCCACAAGCGGTGGCTCAGCTACAACATCATATTGAAAAGGGTCAGTCTTTCAGAGGCGAAGGCTTTGACATGTCACTTCTTGAAAATGCGCTCGCAGCTTGAGAAGCGCCTCCAAATCAGATCGGGCAGCACGCGCTATTAACTAGAAATGACGCATCCCGCTTGTGTTGTACCTTTACCGGTTTGCCCAGCCACGAAACTACAGCTTTGCAAGAGCCGAGCCAGACTTCATCAAGGTCGAATTCCGTGACAACTTTGCCAGTGTGTCCGGTATCGCCTTTTACGACCAAGACGCGGACGAGGGAGAACTGGGAGGCCTGGAGAAGGAATCCTTCTGAATCCTCAGCTTTGCTTGGGGTAAGAGAGGTGCTGGGGATGCGAAGCTTGGGAGCCTGGATCCTAAAGCCAATGCCTCGTGAGGCAATGGCCTGTAGCCTTGCGAATCAAGGACTCCTCACCAAGCAAGCAAAGGCAATCCTTGAACTTCCGGGACCCAAAAGCGAGGAAGTGTCCTGGGCCAGGCCCGATCTATTGGTCTCTGCCAGAGTCGATGGATGAGGTTATCGCGTATCGCGTCTACCTTGCCACGGACGAGCTCGGCTCAGGGTTGCTGGGATCGAGTTTCGTTTAACGAGTGTTCGGCGGAGGATCTAGCAGAGTCGGGCGAACTAGGGCTCTGGGCAGTTGGAGTTGGGAGGAGGGGTTTTAGAGAACTTGCAGTTGACTTTGCTTCTCCCCTCAGGCGCTCACTGGTTGGCTCCGATGTGGCCTCTAATCTGACTCATGGCTTCTTCCAGTCGATGCCGAGTGGTGGGGCCGATCTGGGACTTGGGGGCTGTAGGGTGCAGGGTTTACGATGGTGAGCAGAAATTTCACGACCCGGGGGTCAGCTGTCTTTCTTCAATCTCTTCAGCGTTCGGGACTTTCTGCAGCATCGCTATGTCCACCGGGCAGCAGAACCTCTGCAGGCAGCATCTCTTAAGTATAAAAGCGCTTGCAGAACGTTTTAAGTTTTAAGTTTTGTTTTTGGGAAATCAACGAGATGTTGCTTTCGTAGCACGGGCCGGGCCTTCAGATCTGGATGCCTGTAGCGGAATTTAACCGCTGCAACCGCAAGAGCCGCGTCCTGGCGGCTGTATGGCTGTATGGGTGAAGACCGCGAACTTGCAAACCAGAAACCCGCACAGTCACCGCCCCTGGAACATAAGTTCTCTCGGTTGACATCAAGTAGGTGCCTGTGCCCAACAAGGCTCAGTAGTGAACAGTCCTCGCAAGAAGTCTCTTTGTTTCCGAGCCGCTGCCCCGAGGACCTCGCTGGATCTCGATTCGAACACGTTGGTTGATGATTTCAGCCACGTCGTCGTGTACACGGTGTCCGTCGCTCGGTCAAAATGCCTGGCGTTGCACCTATATATTTTCGTCGACTCGCAGCATCCTGCAAGCCTTGAACTAGCCTTGAACCTAGATGTTGATTTCGCCCGGCTTTGACTGGTTGGTGCGATTCTTTCTCAAACTTGCAGAGCTCCCACCCATGACAGTTTCAAATCCTCTCTGCCTTGTGTGTGCTATACTGATTACCGTGTTGACTTTGTACTTGTTCGTTCTGGTATGGATGTTACTGGTCTTTCGAGTTTGGGATGAGAAGGCCTTCTGATCTGGAGGCCCTCTTTCGCAAGTGGCACTGTTTTGGTGCACCTCTGCTCAGGAGCTGGTCGAGCAGACGACACCGGCCTTTGCTGAAATCGTCGATAAGGGTCTCACAGCTAGGGAGGCGGAGCGATGCGGAGCCTTCTTGAGCTTGTCATAGGACGCACGTGATGAGGGTTTACGGTTCGGGGTTTAGGGTACGTCAAGCTTGAGGCAGCATAAGATCCGCTGTCAGCTTAATGCACTACTCATCACTACTCACTTACTCGGCTAAATTAACTGCGAGGGCCCCGCGAAGTTGATCAGAAGCGGGGCTCAGCTGTGTCCGAAATGGGCTCGATCGAAGCGCAAAGCAATACTGATTCACTGGACGGCTCCTCACTGCAGGCGCGCCTGTCCTCCGGGCCCCACCCCTGCAGTAATCCATCTGTGGGTTTTCCAATCTCAAGCCGGTTCAATAGTGACAATCACAGGCAGTGTTCCAAGACCTAGACCTGGATGCTACGGACATCGGAGGGCCGTTGGCATGGAATTTGACGGGGAACACGCCGCTCGGTGGCTTGCGTATTAGGACAAGCCAGCTGCACCGTGTATTGGTGATAGTAGCAGGATCGGCACGTTGGAATTCGCAAGCGGGGCTTAACATTGCCATGTTTGCAGCCGACCACTNNCCCCCCCCCCCCCCCCCCCCTTCCGCAATATTTTGGATTGCTTTCTTCAGCCGCTCAGGTCAGACTTGACGCAGATCACGCACCCAGTCGCAGAGGGGACCGGTTAAGTCTCGATGCTTCCGCACCTACGGATTCAATATAGTTCTGTAAGGCATTATGCCATCTACTTCGGCTGGGTGGAAGTGATCTACGGGACTGCGAGCTCAACGACCACGAACATCACGAACATGTCGGAGGCTCCTGTTGGCCATGTCCTACCACAGTCAAGACAAAGCTGAAGCACCCGTCATTAATTACTCCTAGACTAGCATCTGTACGGGAAGTTCGGAGGACATGAGGAACGGGGCAGTTCTGAAAGCCTTATGCCTCTGAGCTTCAACGCGTTGCATCGCGGCACTGGTTTCAGGAAGAGTCTGTTGCTCCGATCACGTCCACCACAGTGACCACGGTGACAGTATCCACCATAACAAGTACTTCGACAAGCACTGTGCCAGCCACTACAGTCAACGGCGCTGATGACTCGGACGCTCCTGCTTCTTGGATATCATTATTGGCTTAGGGCTGTTTGGTTGCCACTGCCTCTGAGCTTCAAAGGGCTCCTGCCGTGGCTTAGGACATAAGCGACGGCGCCAACCAGTCAGATGACGACACGGGGTCCGTCAATGAATCCAATGACAGCGATGGCAACATCTCCAATGCCAGCGAAACAAGCGACTTCTACAATGCATCGCCAGAGACACCTGCTGAGCAGCAGGCACGTTGCACCAGGTCTCTCCCCAACCCCTGTCTCTGCGCCTTTCATGAAGCCTTCAGGATGGCATGTGGCGCCTCCAGGACGAGGACAATGAAAGTTACAACGAAAGTAACGACAGCAACTGGACCAACTTCTCGTTGCAGGCGGACAGGGTATACAGCATGGTCAGATCTCTTGTTGCAGCTTCCAGCTGTTGGCACGGAGATATGTGCAGGTGGGGACAACGAGCACACTGCCCACCACCATGCAACTTGGCTTGAGATGAAGCAGGCCTGGGCGAAGTTGATGCTCAGTCGTGTGCAGGACCTTGACAACGTCACTGGTCTACGTCAGAGGCGGGAGAGTCTTTAAAAAGGGCCCCTGCAACGTAGGTCAAGCTGCCAGGGCGATTCATCGAGGAGATCTCGGCCTTCACTGGCGACCCTCCCGCGATTCTCACCACCTACTTTCTGTCGGCAGAAGCTTTGCTGTCCATGGCCATTACAATTGGCTGCTCTGGGTCCGGATTGGTCTTGTGATATCCCGGTCCTGTCAACACTATCAACACGGGAAATTTAAAATTATGGGATTATCTTGAGATTGCAGATGGAATCCGGGTTCTGAGGCAAGCAACCACGCAATGGGATGAACATGGGATGCAAGAAAGTGTTCCTATTTTATAGTATTGTTCAGTGGGAGTCGGTGTCCCATGTCTCCTCAGGTCCAATAGATCTGAAATCTGCAAATATGCAAAAACATCGAAGTATTGGAAGATTCCATGGGAAACTAGTGTAAACCTAGATCTTGCTGTTTATATGTTTATATTGTTGATTCCCATTTCCCATTGGATTCGGTGTCTGATTTCTCTCCAGGTCCGGTTGATCTGAACTCCAGAATGTTGCAGAAAAGCGCCGATGAAATTGACAAACACGGAATAAACATGAATCGCCATGGGAACATAGTATTGTGAATACTGTTCTTGCTGATTCTATGCTCATGCAGTTTTCATTTCATTCAGCTGGTATTCCCACCGTTTTCCGTTGGATTCGGTGTCTGATGTCTCTCCTTGTCCAGTAGATCTGCAAGCCAGAAATTTGCAGAAACACCGGATAATTTCGGGAAAAAACTGAGTTTCTACGAACTAAAATGGCAAAATTGGGAAATACGAGTGTGAGTCCTGCAATCCAGAAACTTGCCACACAAAGCACACACACACACACACGCACGCAGCGAAGCAGTTGCAAAGAAACATGGAAGAACCTAGGAGGTAACATGGGAAAGTATTACTGTAAGTGTTGTTCTTGTTGACTCTGTTCCCATGCCGTTCTCAATGTGGTTTTCAGTCAGAGAGTAATAAGGTGGGGGGGGCCATCCTAAGGTTTGTCATACCGGATCTTTGCACGTCCCATCTCGAAACTGGAGGCAGCTCCGCAGGACTGTAACCGGCAAAACTGAGGAGACTGACCTGTCCAACTTCACTCACCTCTTTGTCTACGCGCCTTGGCGACGTTCTGGCGGGTCTTGGCCTGCAAAGCTGTGTACTGGTATCCACCTCGGTGGGAGTCTGTACGATTAGACGGTCGAACAGGTTGGGCGGTTGGCCGGCTGTTGTGTTTGCCGCTGCTTTGGCGCTCGCTCAGCTGCCCCACTTAGCAAGTGCTTCAGTGCAAGGTCCGGACGTCCTTCACGGACCAGTCCACCCCAGCCGCGGCGCCGATCACAGTCACTCGACCGCATCTGGAAGGTGATGACTTGACTTTCCGCACCGAGCCTGTGCGGGAAGAAATGCTGGTCGCATCTGGTCACGACAGGTGCATGCGGACATGGGAGGTGCCACGATGCATGACACCCTGTGGTTGTTGCAGTTTCAGCTTCGTGTTCGGTGTGTGCCGGTGGGGTAGCACTCAGTGCTTAACTCTGAAACCTTAAAGCGTCTACACCGCGTGCTTTGATGTTGGCGAAGGCGAAGATGCCGATGATGATGTCGTGATGCTCCTGATGACGATGACGATATATCGGCAGCGATAGCTAGCCGCCTCAGCAGTTCCGGCACCACCAAGAGAAAGCAACGTCGCACTAATCACCACCAGCCCACCCCCACCGCCATCCACCGCCACTCCACGCCATCGCCTCCCCGAAGGCATCAGCTTCAGCAAGAAGAACACGTCCCTCCACCGTGTGTACTACTGTCCCTGCCTTTACTTGTTGTGTTACTGTTGCGGCTGCAAAGACGACATCCACGAAGATGTCGACGACGAAGAAAGCGACGACTGACAATGCTAGTGGCTAGAGGCAACTGTGGTGCTTGGCTCTTCGCCATAGGTACCGCGCAACATTCTACATGTAGCACAAAAATTTGCCGCAATGGCACAAACTGTCGCAATATTCAAGAGTCCACACGCGTAATGCTCGCTAGAACAATGCCGACTTGTGGTTTTCATCCCATCACCCCTCACTTCGTGGTTTTGGTACTCAGTCGCTTGTGCCCTGCGGCGTTGGTTTAGCCCTTCTTGCAACCCTCTCTTAGCCTCGTCTCTCTGAGCACTTCAGAGGACGTGGATGCAAGCACTTCAAGCATCCACTTCACTGACTACGACCTGGATGAAACGCAGATTGGTGGCACGGTGAGCTTTCTCCCACCCATCGACACGGAATTTGCCTCCTGGCGGCATGTTGGGGCTTGCGTGCGTGCGTGCGTGCGTG